TGGGACGATAAACCTGTTTGTACAGTGACAGCAACGCCCTGATGTATGGGAGGGGGGAGGTGCTTCTGATCCTACATAAGCCGTCAGAGAATTGCCCTCCTAGGGCCAGTGACAGCAGAATTTCTTTGCGCCCCTCGACAAATGATTTAGGACAGTCTCAGAACACAGCCCTTAGGCTGCCCCACCCCACCCCCAACAATGCCTAGGATCTTATGTGCGCGGTGGAGAGCCTGGCCACCACTAGGTCATACAATTACTTACTGTAACTCTCACCTGTCCTTAAACTCAGCGTGAACACTAGGGTCCCATCACCAACCTGTGGGTCAGGTGAGGAACTAGCTTGCTCATTGAAATAGCTCTAGGGGCACTATTTAGGATTTCCTTGTGTTTCCTGGAGTTACATTGAGTAGGTGGAAATGCTCTGTTAATTGGTCATGGCAGGTGACTGCTAAGGGGCAGTCAACATATTTTTTAATATACATGTATATAATATGTTATATGTTGTGTATGTTATATGTTACATATTATATATGTTACATATTTTTTAATGAGCCTGATGCTTCCAAAATGTAAATAGTTACTTCACAGCATTTTGCTTCGATATTTTCTTAGTCTACCTACCTGGTAGAAGAAAATCAAAACTAAGTTAACTGAAGTAGCAAGGCTTCCTTCCATTAGGCAACTCCACTGTAAAAGGTCAGGGGCATGGAACGCTCACCCTGGGGCCAGTCCTGGACAAAGTGTTTTGTGTACGATCCCTCAGCCTTTCCTCATGCCAACCCGATACTCTTATCGGTAATGTTCTGTGACTTAGAGACCAGGAATCCCGTGAGTCAGCTGCTTACATCTGGGCCTGGAAGGCAGAGCTCGAGCACTTGGTTCCATGTGGTAGCCCCTCCCTCACCTGCAACCCCAGAATCCTCCCTGCTTGTTTGAAACCCTGCTCTCTCCTGCACAGTAAGGCTCAGTGCCTGACTCTTACTTATGGCCCAGTGCTTATTTTGGGAGTGAATTAATACAACGAATGAACTGTTTAGAATTTAGCCTTCCTGTGAAACCCACATCCACACTTGAATGAGGAAGGAGCTCGATTTTCCCATTTCCAGGTTTTCTTCCAGGTTTTCTAGGGTTACAAGAAGTTTGGTCAAGAAGCCCTCATTTTGCCTTTCAGAAGTTGTCTCTAGTTAAAAAACAAGGTGCTCTTGAAATGGCTTATTTTTTGTATTTGTTTCATTCAGGAAACAAAGTGAGAAAGCCTCGGAAATAGAGCATTTAATTTATAAGCTAGCCTGCAACCCACCATCAGTAATTCAGAACTATCATTCTATATAAATTGGTATCATTATACCTTGAGAATCTTACTGAAAAATAATATTTGCAGACCTCTGACTTGCAATCTATTGCTCTGAAAACAAAAATAATACATCAGCATTTGTTCCCATGGGAGATTTCTGTTCGGAGGTTTTAGGAGAGAAATATGTGAGACTTGTATAGGATCAATCTTATGAAAAATTAAATGTTTAATGGGCTCTGGGCTTTACAAATGAGATTCTGGCTGAAGACCTAAATAGTATGGGGTGCAGAGTGTGTCTTTCAGGTAAGAAAGGACTAAAAGGAAATCAGAAGTCTGACCCTTTCTCAGTATAGTTAGGCAAATGTCCCACCCTTTGTCCATGCGTGATGGCCTCAGATACTTTCTCTTCTGCTGGCCCCTGCCCAGTTGTGTAGGGACACTTTAAGGAAAATGATCACTTCAGGCATCGAATAAGAAACTATGATTGGGACACATTAAATATCTCGATCATTTGAAATAACTTGGAATTTGGAGGAAATATTTGGGGAAGAGTGTTAAGATGGGAATGGAGGCGGGATATTTTAGTTGAAAGAATCTGTGTAATAAATACAGCTATAAATTTGGAGATAGAAATAGCCTTGGAGAAACCCTCCATAGGAAGTAGCTGGCTCTGACTTTGGGGGCAAAAGCTGTCCCTGGAGCTCTGTGTTACCCAGCTGTTAGCACAGAGCCCGTGTGAGCTGGGGGCTTCCTAAACACGTGTTGCATGAATGATTGAGCAGGCTTGGAGCCCACATGGCATCTGAAAGGCATTGTTGAAGTTAACGGACTATTTCTGAGCAGTTTTATCTTTACGGAAAAATTGAGTAGAGAGTAGAGTTTCCATACAGTGCTTCTCTCCCTACACACAGTTTTCCTTATTATTTACATCTTGTATTAGCCTGGGGCATTTGTTACAATTGATGAGTCAGCATTGATACATTATTATTAACTGAAACCCACAGTCGACACTAGGGTTCACTCTGGGTATTGTACGTCCTGTAGGTTTTGACAAATATGCAACAATGTGTATCCACCATGGCAGTATCACACAGAATACTTTCCCTGTCCTCAACGTCGTCTGTGCTCTGCCTGTTCCCCACCCCTTCCGCTCAAGTCCATCGCAACTGCTGATCTTTTTGTCGTCTCTATAGTTTTGCCTTTTCCAGAGCGTCATATGGTTGGGGTCATACAGTGCGGAGCTTTTCCAGATTGGCTTCTTTCACTTAGAAGTATGTATTGAAGGCTCCTCTGTGTCTTCTCGTGGCTCGATAGCTCATTTCTTTTTAGCGCTGAGTAGTATTTCATCGTCTGGATAGACCACAGGTTATTTATCCATTCACCTCCTGAAGGATGGCTATGTTGCTTCCAAGTTTTTGGCGATTATAAATAGACCTGGAATGAATATTTGTGTGTGTGTTTGTGTACATGTAAGTTATCATGAAAGCCACATTTTTATAATACATTCCTTCACGGCATTTTCTTTGTGCTAAAGTACGTCAGCATACACAAACGAGTAATTTTACTTGGAAGGAAGGTGCATGGTTGCATGCTCTTTTGCTTAATGCAAACTGCAGTGCACACAAGTGAACTCCTCCAGCCTCTGCTACTGCCCGGTCTGCATTGGTTTACATAGAAGTCGTCTTATGAACAAAAGGGGGCATTTTTCTTTCAGAGTGTAAGTGGAGGTTATATCGCCTATTGCTTCCTTCTAGGTCAACTCATTAAGCTAATTACCGTTTTCAAAGTAATAAGGCTTAGATTAGTGTCGCAGCCAAATATCCGCAAGCCCAAGCGCACAGGTGGTTTTGCTGAGCTGCGCCAGATAACACCACAGTAAATGTCTGCCTGATCATGATTTATCATGGGAGACAAATTGCTGAAATGGCCCTCGGGTGCCTTATTGCTTGGTTCTGAGTATGACATTTATATATATGGTGTGGGGTCCAGGAATGTTTATCACTGAGTTAAAAATTGAGAAAGATTGAACATGCTCTCGCCTGTGGCATTTGCAATCAAATGGCAAAAATATGTCTTGTAACAAATGACTTGGGTGTTGTTTTTGCATCAGAAATCATCTCTGCCACCTCTGTGAATAGCTGACTCTGCACCCTTCTCCCCTCACTCTGCACCCACCAGGTGAGGGTACAGCCAGGAGCAGAGGGCCTGTCCGCTCTGGGCAGGACCCACCTGCTGGACAGGATGCATCCAGCATCCCGTATTTAATTATTTCTGGCACAGAAGGTGCCTGGTGTCCTTGTAGAATATCAATGGCTGTAGTCACTCTATTATGATTAAATGAAGCCCATTCAAAATTTGGTTCCTCTGTAGAGACCATCGGCATCACGTACACATACCAAGAAGATGTGAAAAGGCTTCTTACTCATGTACTGAAGCTTTCTGGGGGAGAACAGGGCAGCTCCTAAATTGATCCAAAAATAGCTTGAGAGAGCAGGGAAAAGAGACCGATTCCGCTTTTATAGTGGCTCAGCACTGAGGCTTAGATGAGGGTTTCCCACGCTCAGGCAGGGGCTTGTGCGGGTCCAGCCTTCCAAGACAGTGAAGGGGGTTGGGGTTGGATTCCTGATCAGCTTGTGCAGCACAAGCGGAAGAGGGAGAGTGTGCTTTAAAAACTCTTAGCAGTCCAGCATCAAAGTATGGAGTCAGACTCTAATAGAGCCATGAAAGTCAGCTGTGTGTGCTAACCAAGTTCAATACGCAGCCCAGGTCCACACAGACCCCTGTGGGAACCATGCATTGTGTACCTCTGGTTTGTTCATCATTTTGTCTTCTGAATTGAGAGCCAGCGATAGCTTCCTACCCGGAGTCCGCATTCCAGCCTCCTCTTCAAACTTCAACTGTCAGGGTTTCTGAGTCAGATTTAACTCTTACGTCCTGCCTCTCCCCCTTCCCGACCGTCAGCAGTTGCCCAGGTCGCTTGTCTTTTTCCATCAGGCTAGCTCTTCTCCATCCAGTGGGGCCAGAGGTGTTTACTCGGAGGGCTCAGTGGGGCTGAACGAGAGAACATGCAGCAAAGTCCTTTGCGTGTGAAGAGTGTTCAGCAGATGTAGCAATTATTGCTGCTGCTGTTGTTATTTTGAAGTGTTGTTATCTGGGGGTGGTCTACAATGCTACTTTTGGGGAAAGAAGAAGGCAAGTGTGAGGAATATTGCTATTAGTGATGGGCAGTTTTAGTCTTGGGTACCTACTGTTAGTATTAAAAGAGGACATTCATCATGAGAAATTTGTATAGATATGTGTTCCTGTGAGAGGAACAATGATTGTTTGGTTGGCCCATGCAGTAAGGAAAAATGGTAGACTCCTTTACAGCCTCACGGCCACCAGCTGGTGAGAGGAAACCATCCAGCCTCTTTCCCCAGCACCTTCCTGCACACGGGTCGTGATTGACAAGCCTGGTGCTGTCAGAACACATGGTCAGGTCCCCCTGCAGAGCCACTTCATGATGCCCAGAAACCTCTACGTGACGCTAAAGCCACTGACTGACCCTTCTCCCTTGTTGGATCAGCATGGAGCAAGCTCCAGTGTGCGCGAGCATTTCCCCTCCCACCTTGCAGATCAGCCTACCCATTGAGGAAGGCAAGCGCCGCCTCCCTTTCTTTTGTGAATATTAAAGGGTTTTAATACTGAGTCTTTCTTTCCCCTCCAGGGCAGATCTTGAATGTTCTAGAGGAGCTGAGATTGGCGGACAATACCCTTGTCTACTTCACATCAGACCACGGAGCCCACGTAGAAGAAGTGAACATCAAAGGAGAAGTCCACGGTGGAAGTAACGGGATCTATAAAGGTGAGAAAGGCTGGCGTGTGTCCACAAGCTCTGGCCTTCCAGTTCATCCACTGTTCGCTTTCTCCTTGATCTTAGAGCTTTCCCGTTGTTCTGCTACTGCTTTGTAATACGTAGGACTTCCCTGTGTCGCGGGAATCGGACAGGCATAAGGCCAGTGAGACTTAACACGGCCTTCCTCCTTGGGGTCCCTGTGGAACTTAAAAGCCCACATCCCACATTGAGACACTGGAAGGAGGGTGTGCAACCCCAAGTGTAAATACAACCCCATATTGCCTAATTGATTAAAGCAAGACTCTCTCTACTCCTATGTATGAGTTTCCCATTGCTGCTGTAACAAATTAACACAAACGTGCTGGCTTACAACAATACACATTTATGGACTTACAGATCTAGAACCTAAGGGTCCAAAGTGGGTGTCTCACTGTTCTAAAATCAGGTGTCAGCAGGGCCTTCTGCAAGCTCTAGGAGAGAGCCTGTTTCCCCTGCCTTTTTCAGATTCTAGGGGCTGCCCACTTTCCTTGGCTCAGTGACCCTTCTTCTGTCATGAAAGCCAACACCCTCTTTCTTTTAGTATCTCCAAAGCCCCCACCCTCTTTCTCTCTGACCTTTGCTTCTATCATGCCTTCGCATGAAGGCATGTTCTGAAGGCACAAACGCTAGTACCGTGTGTCCCTGAAAGTAAGACCTACACATAAAATAAGCCCTAGCAGGATTTCTAAGCATTTGCACAATAGAAGCCCTACCCCGAAAATAAGACCTAGTGATGGGTGTGGCTACGCAGCACATCTGCACAGCCCATGCATGTTGTCGCAGAGTGGGAAAGAAGATGAGCAGCCCTTCTCATCTGCCCCATGAGAGCTCTGTTGCTCCACGTGAGAAATTGAGGCCGATGTTTCTAAAGGAAATAGAGTTGCAAGAAATTCAGGATGGAATTCAGGGTTTGGAGAGTTAGGATGATGTTCCAGAAGAAGACGACTTAACTATATTTGAATAAATGTAGATTGTTGTACTGTACTTGAAAAAAATAACACATCCCCTGAAAATAAGCCCTAGGGTGTCTTCTTGAGGAAAATAAATATAAGACCCTGTCTTATTTTTGGGGAAACACAGTATGCACAGGTGCTGGAGTAAGTGGGGGAAAGACATCCATGCTCGGCCAAGGGGTCCCCGGTGGGCTGGAAAGGCGGCAGCCAGTCTGTTTGTGCCTGCCCCTTGCTCTCTTACACATCTTTCTGTCCTCCAGTCATTGCCCTCTGTGGCAGTGCCGGGAACCAGGAGCAGCTGCAAACCGCTTGCTCTGTGAACTGCAGGCAGTTCAGTAAGGCGGGAGGACACCAGCCTGAGGCAAAGACAAAGAGTCCTCTATTGCCCATCCCTGAGGCTGCAGCCCATGCAAGCTTCTGCTGCTGTTTATGTCATCATGTGCACACCCAGAGTCCTGTGCTCTGCTGACTGCCCTGGGGCAAGGAGCATTTCTTACACCTGCGGTTACCTGGCCCCCAGCCCCAAAGGGTTCCTGTGTTCAGTGCTTGTGGGCAACCTTCCTAGACTGCTCAGACCCCATGCCACCCCTTCTCTGGGTCCCCTTGCTACAGCCTAGTATGCACTGTGGGTTAAACGAATGAACAGGTGTGTTTAATCTCCTTCCTAGACTGCTCAGACCCCATGCCACCCCTTCTCTGGGTCCCCTTGCTCCAGCCCAGTGTGCACTGCAGGTTAAACGAATGAACAGGTGTGTTTGATCTGAACAGGATTAACCCACCCGGCTGTCCCTCTCTCAGCCTTCCTCTACGTACCCCATCATCTTAGAGCAGTGAGAAGTGAAAACCTGTATTCCTGATCTGGGGATTCTCAGTCTTTCGGTCTTATTTCCTCGAGGCTCTGGCCTGCACCAAGAGACTTGTGTTTATTTTATTTTTTAGATTCCAGTGTCTCTAAAGACAGAGATCCAGGCCGCCCTGCACGCTCTAGTTCAGCAATCCCATTCATTCTCTCCCTTAATGCCTGTTAGGTTCCAAAATAGCTCAGTGCTGCCAAGGAGGAGGCATGTGCACAGTCACAGAGATAGCAATGCTTAGAAAGGAGTGTTTATGAAAGGCACACGTGCAGTGCCGTGGAGCCTCAGGGCAGGGAGAGGCGACCACAGGCTGCCACTCCCAGGGAGGCTTCCTGGGGAAGAGGAGAGTTACTGGCATTCTGCTTCAAAAGGCTCTTAGTTGGCTCTTAGGAGACTCAGCTGTTTTGGTCAGAAACACAGCATCAAAGGGTCTTTGAGTGAATGTTGGGAACTGCTGTTATCATAGAATCCTATGATTTTGTTTTTTTGTTTTTGTTTTTGTTTTTAGAAATGTGCAAGATTTGTTAGAAATGTTTTACTTGAGTACTAGAAATACCATCAACGAATGACACTGTATTAATGTCTCAGCCACTGCTGTGTGGTAAAGCATTATCCTTTTGTCAGACTTAGTTGGAATCAAGTTCGCAGTGAAACAGTGTTAAAATACAGTGCCCTGAAAGAAAGATGCAGTTTCCTCCTAACTGTGGGAACTGGAGCACACACCAGTGCTTTATGCAGATGCAGAGGAATCCTGCCGTTTAACGCCCTGATCAGGAAAGCATCCTTCTCTGAACACTAGCGACTTCCAGTCTCCATCAAAACCTCTTGAAAAACGTATTTACTATTTGAACTCATTGACTCCTCCGAATCCCCAAGTCAAATCTGTTTCACTAATGAAATCCATGGGCTTATTTGCTAAAATGGTGATGACTCAACAGGTTATTCCTTTGAATGGCTATAACATTACGTCCCTGCCGTAGTCTACATTTAAAAATTATTATTTAATATTCTAGGGGTGAGGAAATAGTAACACTACTAATTGTTTCTCTCTTTTTTTTTTTTTTTTTTAAGGAAATGGGTCTGCAGTGTGATCATTTTGGTTAGATTTAGATATGAGTAAATTCTGTCCTTGTCAAAAAGCTCCAGGATAAAAAGGAATTGGGAGGTAGGGCTAGGCTCAAATGCATATTTTGGAGCTACTTCTGGCCAAATTTTAGAAATCTTGGCAATAAATTAGTCCTTCATAGCTAGAGGAGTTCCTGAAATATTTACCTCTGAGAGCCTTCTAAAATAAATTTCTTCCTATTGTCCACATGCTTTCAAATGATTGTGTCAACCTAATGCTGTTGAAACCGCAAGGGGGTGTTGGCCTAGGTCTAGTTGCTCATTGCACAAAGATCCAATTATTGAGAGAACCAGGATCGCCAAGGAAGAAAGGAATTTTTTTTTAATACAAAAAAAGTCTTGTTAGGATTACTCTTTCAAAGCCAGCTCCCCAACTAACAGAGACCATGGACTTCTCTAGGAGGGGTGGCGTGCCTTGGAGCAGGTCTGATGTATCTAACAAGGGTGTGTGCGCTGAGGCAGGTTGTGGGGGCTGGCGAATCTTGGCGTCTGGAGGTCTGCCCAGAGGCCGTCAGAATCTCAACTCCCTGGTCCTGCAGAAAACCCACCACTTCTGGGAAGCAACTCGAAAGGTCAAGTTATTAGTTATTTCAGAGAAAGGATTATTTGAAAGCAAACACACACATACACATAGGGGTCACTGAAATTTGTTCATAGAGCTGGTGACACTAATAAAACCAATTTCCTAAGGCATGATGCATCTTCCTGTTTAAGAATTACGGAATCATGTCTCCAGTAGAGCTTCTAGTTAATTTGGTAGTGCTCCCACACCGTGTTACTATGATTTTCTTAGACAGCAGGATAAATAGGTAAGCAACAAAATATCCCAAGCCCATTGCCTTGGCCTGCGACCCTTTTTTATAGCTGTTAAATGCAGACAATCCATCAGGGATACTGAAAGGCTGAAATGTCCACACTCCTACTTTGGGACCTTGGGAATAGAAACCACTGCTTTGATCTAACAGAGGACGGAAGATTTCTGTGCAATCCTGAACTCTCTCTAGGAATCATGGATTATGGCTGTCCGTTTGTGTGCCTGCACCCTGGGTGGGTATCATCGGGTATATCTAGATCAGCGGTGTGGCTGAGTGTTGGTAAATGCTCCATTCTGCGTCCACATCTGTGTCGAGGCAGTTGCATGAGCACTCAAGGCGAGGTTGAGTTCTCTTACTGAAGGAGCAGGTGGCCCCATCCCCAGCCTCACTTGTCTATGTCAGGGTTTTAAGCCCTTGGGGCTCTCCTAACAGAAAGAGAGGTGCAAACGAATTCATGGACGCTTCTGCTCAGCCTGCATCACCGGCTCCTCCTCACCTGAACTTCCTCTCAGTGTAGGAGCTCTCCGGGGCTTCTCCTGGGCCCCCACCCCTACATGCTTACCCTCTGTGATGTCATCCAAACCCATGACCTCACACAGTGTCTGAGTGCTGGTCCTCCACACGCCCAGCCTGGCCCTGCCTGGGCGCCCCACCCTGAGTCCAGCTGACATCACTCCATCCGTCCATCCCCATCAGCTACAGCCTCCTCTGGGCCACCCTGGTCTCTCCTGAGGACCTCTCTGCTGGGTTTCCTGGTGGTCTCCCCTATTCCTACGATCCATTCTCCACCCAGAAATTGCCTGAGCTTTTATAAACTCAGCATACTCTAGTAAATTTCTGAGGTTGATGTAATGAAGTATCACAAACTGGGTGGCTTAAAGGCAATGGAAAGTTATCCTCTCTCAGTCCTGGAGGCCAGAAGTCTGGAATCTAGGTGTGGATGTGCTAGGTTCTCTATGAACCTCTGGGGAGGATCCTTTGCTGTCTCTTCTTAGCTCTGGTAGTTGCAGCAATCCTTGGCATCCCTCCACTTGCAGATGATCTCTCTGATCTCTGCCTCCATCTTCATGTGCCTTTCTTCCTTTCTTGAAACACTGTGATACCTTGCCATGCACGGGAAGTAAAATGTGAAGCCTGCACCCCACTGTACCTAGTCCCACCATGCCCTGGCCCAGCTTCATTCTTCTCTTCTCTTCCTGGCTTTTGCTCAGGTCCCCCAATAC